TTGGCAAGCAGCCTGTGTTTCACACCAGGATCACAGTGAAAACCTGATGCAGGCAGTCTGTGGGGGGAGGGGAGAAGAACTCCTGTACAGGGAGGGGGGAGGCTGTGGTCACACTTGGTCCTCGACAAACAGGGCAATATTTAACCCCATCCAAATACTCCCTTTTATTAATAGTTCAAAGTTTGGTTTATGATCAGACACATCCTGGGACTAGAGGCAGTGAGCTTGTTCAGCTTAAACTGCTTTTAGGTGTATATACAATAAGGTAAACCAGGTCCCCAGAATGCACAATTAAGAGGGAGAAAAATCCTATAATTACCATATTTGCTTATGCATGAATGTGCATGCATATAATTAAAAGCAAATGCTTCATGGGAAAGAACGCGCTTACTGAACAGTTACAAACTCAAGCCGGTCAATCAGAATATAGCCCGCACATACCTCAGGGAAATCCACATGCTGGAGGCAGCGTGGGAACACATTCCCAGTGCTCGGGAGATGGAAGCAGGAGGAGAGAGAGGTTCAAGGCTAGCCTGTGTGACGCAGGGATTTGGAGGCCAGCCTGGGCTACCTGAGTGAGATGGGACCTCCTACACACAAAAAGATGAACCATGTTCTCAACCTTCAGAGCCAGACTAACAGGTGACACAGGGCATCAGACTGTCAGTCCCCGATACTGAGGTGGGAGAACCTGAGTTACTGATGCCATTGCTGCAGTGCAAGATGACGTGTCATTCACTAATTAATTAATTATAAGAAAAATGATTCAGTCTTTACAGGACTTCCCATTCAACTTTGAGTATGGACATGACAGATAGGATAACCACAGCCATGCCAGCCATAATACAAAGATAAATTATATTTCTGAATTAAACACAGCTTCTAACCTGCCTTTTTGTGTGGACTTTCTTCATTATTTTTCTTTTGGCATTGTTGCTACTTGATGATTATAACCTCAGACAATTTTTCTTTTAATCTGCTCTACCCTTGGATTCATTTTACAATGTGTTCTATACTTTGATACATTCTTGATCTTACCCATAAGTGGATTTTTATTTATTTTACTGCCAAGGGGATTATGCTCCTGAGAATAAAGTACACAAGGCTGACTCTCCTGGGACAAGCATGTCTATGGCTTTCCTGGCTTTCACCATTTTGGACTCATTGGTTTACATACTTATATTACTTTCTCAAGACCATGCCCTCCCCATATACATACACACATATATATATATACATATATAATTTTTATTGAAATTTTAGCTAGATTAATTCATTGCATTTTAAGTATTAATGTTTTACCTGCATGTATGTATGTGCACCACAAGCATGATTGGTTCCTGAGGAGCTCAGAAGAGAGCATTGGGTCTCCTGGAACTGGAGTTAGATACTTGTGATCTACCATGTAGGTGTTAGGAATCAAACTAATGTCCTCTGGAAGAGAAACAAGTGCTCTTCATTGCTGAGTCTTCTCTCAGTAGATTACAAACTTATATAAATTTTATATTTTTTAATTTGTGTGTATTGTTGTTTTGCCTGTATGAATGTCTGTTAACCATGTACAAGCCTGGTGCCTGAAGAAAGTAGAGGTGTTGGATACCCTAGTACTGCGGGTGCTGGGAATTGAACCTAGGTCCTTTGGAAGAGTAACCAGTGTTTTCACTGCTTGAGCCATCTCTCCAGCCCCAGACCTTTCATGTTCAATCTTGTGAAATCTGTATTTTCTAGATATATAACATTTTCCAACTAAACACCTATGACAGAATTCAAGTCAACCCTGATGACAGGAAATCCAAAGCCTCCTCTTCAGTCTTTTATAAGGCAGGAAGAGAGAGTGCTGTGGTCCCTCTTAGAGAACGTAGTATGAAACTTATTCATCATCAGCCTTCTGTACATTGCAGCGGGAGCACTGGAAACAAGAAAGCATACGAAAGGAAACCAATTGACGGAAAAAGACTGAAGCCACTTCCCATTTGGGCCACCTACAACCAGCCGAGCTTACCCACCAAGAGTTTACAACGTGTGTAGAGAAGTAATTGGCCTATAAATTGTCATGAGCCTCATGACCCAATGACTGTTTTTTTTTTTCTGAGATAGAGTTTCTCTGTGTAACATTCCTGGCTGTCCTGGAACTCGATTTGTAGATCAGGCTCACCTTGAAACTCATTGAGATCCACTGCCTCTGCCTCCTGAGTGCTGGGACTAAAGGGGTGCGCCACCATTGCCTGGTGACCCAATGTTTTTGAGTGTATGCATTTTTTCAGTTCTCTAGCCCACCTCTATTCTCCAGGCTGCCTTTCTCTTCTTTTTTAAGTTTTATGTTTATGTCTGTGCATACATGATACGTGTGCTACAGTTTGGGTGTGTGTGGGTGTGGGGAGGTATTGCCTAGACTCACGGGTGATGGCTAGAGAAAAGCTCTGTGGAGTCAGTTCTCCCCACACACCCTTCTGTGGGTTCTGGGGATCAAACTCAGGTCACCAGGCTTGCATGGCAAGTGCCTTCACCTGCTGAGCTATCTCACTAACCTGCTTTGAGTTTCTTTAAAGCTGCTCCCGTTACTATTACTAACTATAGCTCCTCATGCAGGTTTTTTTTGTCCTGGGACACAAGAACCTGGATATCTTAGTAGGTGTTCCCCAGACTCCAATCTGTACCTACAACAGCCTGGGCTGTTACACAGAGAAGCCCTGTCTTGAAAAACCAAAAAAAAAGAAAAAAAAGAAAAGAAAAGAAAAGAAAAAAGAAAGAAAGAAAGAAAGAAAACACTTATGAGGGGCTGGGAAGATGGCTCAGTGGTTAAAAGTACATACTGCTCTTCCAGAGGATCCAAGTTCACTTTCCAGTATCCATAGCCACTCACAGCACCCTGTAACTCCAGCCCCAGGGAATCCAATGCACTCTTCTGGTCTCTACAGGCGAGAGAGAGAGAGAGAGAGAGAGAGAGAGAGAGAGAGAGAGAGAGAGAGAGAGAGAGAGAGAGAGAGAGAGAGAGAGAGAGGGAGGGAGGGAGGGAGGGAGGGAGGGAGGGAGGGAGAGACAGAGACAGAGACACAGAGACAGAGACAGAGAGAGAGGGGGAGGGGGAGGGAGGAAGGTAGGAAGGGAGGGAGGGAGGGAGGGAGAGAGAGAGACAGAGAGAGAGAGGTGGAGGGAGAGGGTTTGGGAACAATGGACCACATCCTACCTAGGAGGGATCAAAAGAGGGCTGGATTTGGGGAGGGAGTCTCCCCTGCTCTCTCCATTAATCTCTCCTCCCGCACCCCCTGCCCTGCACACATAGCAGAAGCTCATAAGCACACTTACACCCCGTGTGCATAAATAGGGAAAGACAGAAGACCCCTGGGACCAGCCTCCCTCACCACTGCGTTCCCATTGAATAGGAGTGAGAACCATTAGATAGAACTCATTGAATAGGAGTGAGAACCATTAGATAGAACTCATTGAATAGGAGTGAGAACCATTAGATAGAACTCATTGAATAGGAGTGAGAACCATTAGATAGAACTCATTGAATAGGAGTGAGAACCATTAGATAGAACTCAGCAGCTTTTGCCTATGCTTTTGACCCTGATAAGTTGTCTGAGGTTGCGCCTCGTCTGGAAGTGAAGCCCTGATGTGCTTCCCAGACCTGGCCTCCTCAATGTCCAGAGCAGCGGTAGAGCCTGTGGGGGCCCAACAGGAAGATAGGGAAAAGCCACAGCAGCAATGGCCGGCAATGGGAATCAGCGTCACCGAGGGCAGCCATGAATGGAGCCTCCTCCACAGGGCTTGTCACACTTGCACCTTTTCTGGGTGATCCTTTGGAAGTAGGTATCCAGCCCAGTGATCTGGACAGTCAGGGCTGTCTTCTTCTGAACATAGACTCCATGGCAGCCGCAGGAAATCACTCCTTTGACTGGAAACTGGGTGATGCATGGTATGTTAGAAGAGCAAGAGTCATCCATTCATCCGACTGCCTGGACACGACAAGCGTGCCCCTGGCAGCTGCATGGGCCGCCTGCAGACCACACTGTCCTGACAGAACTGGGCATCAGGATGTCTTTTTGATGCTGAGACTGCTTTGACCTTTAGGACCACCATCCTCCCCGCCCCAAGACACACAGAGACACACAGACACACACAGACACACACAGACACACTCAGACACACACAGACACACTCAGACACAGACACATAGTCATAGACACACACACAGTCACAGACACGCACAGACACAGACACACAGTCACAGACACACACAGACACAGACCCAGACACACACAGGCACACACACACACAGATACAGACACAGACACACACACACACATAAGCACATGCACACACAGACACACACAGACACACTCAGACACACACACACACACACACACACACACACACACACACAAACACACACACGGCGGTCTGGGTCCCTGAGGCCACACAGGTCTGGGAGTTAGGCCCTTTACCACTTCTGTCCTCTAGGAGAGATGTTGAAGCCCACTGTTGATCCTCTAGCAGAGAAACCACCCCTGCTCTGTGGAGTTGTCCCAACTTTACAATGGCTCTGGTTTCGCTTTCTGAGAGGAATGGTTCAGATTCCTCAACCAAAAAAGTGCAAAGGCTTTGACATTTGCTTAAGTCACATAAAATAAATGCGGTCTCCGGGCTGGAGAGATGGTTCAGTGCTTAGGAGCACCTCTTCCAGAGGACCTGTGTTCAACCACTTGGTGGCTCATAAGCTTCTATAGTGGGATCTGATGCCCTCTTCTGGAATAAAGCCATACATGTAGGTAGAGCACTCATACATAAGATAATCTTAAAAACTAGAAGTATGGTCCCTTAAAAAAACAAAACCTGGGCCCAATAGAAATGACTCTGCAGTTAGAGTGCTTATAGCTATCACAGGGTACCTGAGTTCCGTTTCCTGCACCTGCATCAGGTGGCTCACAAGGCCTGTTGAGGTCACTGCTTTCAGGACAGGCATGCAAGCTACACACACAGATGAAACACAAAGGGACTATTTAAAAAAGAAATGTTTATACATCCAGGGAGGAAGATTCAAAGAATCAGAGTCTCTTTCCCTCCCAAAGGTGCTGCCCCAGGTGAATCGAATCGAATGAAGCCTCCCTCTCTGGCTGCTGCTGCTCTGGGGAGAGGAGCCGATCTGTCCCTCAGTCTTCACTGGTGATGAGATTCTCGATGTAGGCGTCCAGCTCCTCATCTGAGCTGATGTTGATGTCCTCCTGCGCTTTCTGCAGGAGTGCTCGGACATTGGTCCGTAGCTTCTGGAGTTTCTCCTCTGCCTCCCTGAGCTTTCTCTGGGAGATGCGCAGGCTCTCCTCGGAGGCCCTGGCTCTAGAGTCAGCACAGCTTTGGTAGGAAATGCAGAGATTCCGGAGCCCTGCTTCGTATTGCTTGAAGCACTCTTTCAGAGGAAGAGACAGCAACTCTTCTGAATTCATGGCACGCAACTCCTTCTTGGATACAGAAAAGCTCAGAGGCATAAAATAACGTAGGCAATTCCAGAGAATCTGGACCAGGAGGTCAATGGTCTCATGGTTGGCCTTTAGAGCAGTAGTGTCAGGTTCAATGCAGAAGCAGTCCAAGGTGGGGGAGCCCTGTGAGGCCATCGCCTGCAGGTCCCCCGTGTCCTCCTCGTCTTTCACGTGCCCTTGCTGCCAATCAGTGCTCTGATACTCTGCTGATGGCTTCATCAGCCATACGTTTGCACTGCCTTTTTCCACCCAGCAGTCTCTCGGTGTGGCATCCCCGGGCACATCTTCAAACTTGACTTTCCACCACACCGCATCCTCGCCTACCTCCACGGCGGTGACATGGCCCCTGTAGCACTCTCCCTTCACACACACCCCTATGTACAGCCCTTTATCTTTCTCAGCTGCCGTGAGGTCAGTCGGATTCTCTTCCTTGGTACTGTCTGAGAGCTCGTTTGCCTGAATCTTTTCCTCATCCACAGACAGCCTGGCCCGTTTGCACGACTCCTTCCTTCTCTCCTCAGCCTCCTCATCATCAGAGACCTCAAGATTCCACTGTACCCATGAGGGATTAATGGGTGAATCTGGCTTCTCTGTCACTGGAGTCTTCATGGCTTCGGGGGTTTCCACCTTGCAAAGATTGTTGGAATTGGGGACTACAGATGTTGACAGGAATTGGAGCAGAGTGGGCTGGGGTACAGTTTTTATCACGGGGCTCACCAGCTGTGGGGGTATCTCAGGTGACTGGAGCAGCATGGCCTCTGTTTGGGCCACCAGAGCAGGAGATTTTGGGTTGGGGCAGAAGATTGAAGCCCTCTGGAGCTGTCTGGATGGTCGAGGAGCATGCATGGACTGGGATCTTCTTCGGGTATTCTTGTTCACTCCACATAGAGGTTGATGACAGTGAACCCTCTGAGTGGGACATGCGGTGAAAGGTCTCATGGTTGCTTCCAAAGGTAGTTTTTTCAGGTCACCTAGGGAGCAGATGGGTTTGGTTTTCTTCAGGACCTTAAGCTTCCTCTGCTGTTGGTGAATTTTCTCTGTCAGCTGCTTCTGCCTTTCTTCTTGTGTCTTTGGAACCCTTTTTAAGATTCCCATGGGAATCGTCTGCTTCAGTTCAAAAGCCTCACACTGGTCCTGCTCAGGGTCAGGGTTCATGGAGCAAACCCAGTTGTCTGGGTAACCTTCTTCTACTGCACTTAACTGGAAGGGGAGGGTCCTCCATTTCAGACACAAATTACACTGTATGGTGGCCGGGACTTGCATAGCCCTCCGGCGTTTAAAATGCAGCTCATCAGATGGGGGTCGGCTCCAGTTGGCAGAGAGGTAGCCAAACTCATCCCAGAACTTAGTGATTCCATACTTGGCAATGGCTATGTCCTTCCAGTATTGTACCAGGTGCTCCCCCATCGCCTGCAGCAGGTGGCGGTACTCCTTGGCATCAGCAAAGTCTTGCTTGTTGTGTGTAGGCTCCAGGACCAAGTAGGGCACATCAATGATCCCAACAACCCCACCACAGGTCATGCCTTTTTCCAACTGTGGGCCAACTTTCTCATACATCTTGATCAGACGGCTGCAGTTGTAGATAAACATGCCATCATGGTCCCGGTGTTCAATGTTGACACCAAAAACAAAATTCAGTTCCTTGGGTTCTTTGAGGGCTTGCTGCTTGTCGTCTTTGATCCTCTTCTTGACATCAGCTTCTCTTCGCAGGGCGATGGCTGTATTCTGGACATGCCGCAGCATCACCCTGGAGTCCCGTGAGAGGTCTCCACCTATGTGCATTTCTAATGCACGAACTTTGCTCTCTGCTTCCCGGGCCTTCTCTTCAGCAAGCCGTGCTACTTGGTCTGCTTTCTTCACCTCTTGCTCTGCCCGGGTCTTGAACCGGCTTGATGTGAATGTGTACTTCCTAGGCTTGTACAGGCAGCAGGAGAGCTTTTTGGTCTGCACCTTGTGACCATGAATGAAAATCCTCATCCGGGGATCGATGTAGAGCATAGCAACATAGGCACAGAAGGAGTACTGCTCTGGCTTCATGCCTTCTTGGGACAGCTCTGCCATCTGGATATCTTTTGGATTTGAAGCTACGTCTAGCTCAGGCTCTCCATTATCCATGAGTTTGAGATTAAAAATGATCACCAGGGTTCCACTATTCCCAGAAATCTTTGTGAACTGGGCCATCACTTCTCCCTCAGTGTGGAAGGGAGAATATTTGTAGATGAGCTCTGTCTCTATGGCAAACTTCTCCACATTGTCTGTGACAGGCTCTCGGGTCTGCGTATCCCAAGTAGGCAATGGGACTATCACTTCATCAATGCCTTCTTCCTCATGAAAGGTTCGAGACAGAAAGAGGCAGCTCATGGTGTCTTCCTTCTTGGTGAATAGGATGAAATCCTTCCCAATACGCATTGCGCCTGATTTGAGCCCATTCCCATACCGCCCGATCTGTGTGGACTCGGGTGATCGTTTGCCTGATTTCCCAAATTGGATCACACTGATGGCATCATTTGGGTCCATTCCCACTCCATTATCAAGAAAACAAAGCATGAATCCTCCTCGAAAGTCCTCTCGCCTTTCAGCATAAATATCTATTCGGGTGGCAGCAGCATCTCTTGCATTGTCAACCAGTTCAGCAAGAGCACCAAACAAAAATTCGTGAGTGGTTGAATTTGTGTGTAGATACTCAAAGGTTAGTTGAGCCCGGTTAAGACTGCTGTAATTAGTGAATGCCATGGCCCTCCAGTCGTACTCACTGAGAAATATAGTTATTGAAGCAGATTTTCTGGGTTCTGCTCAGCAAAGGGTAGTTCTTGCTTCTTAAGGACAGATGAAACAATTTATCTAATAACTGTCCAAAATACAGAGACAGTTAAATCTGGGACTGGCTTCTTTCTTTTAATCTTTTCAATGACTATGATGTCATATGGGGATGCTAAACCTGATTTTCTAAAGAACTTTGAGTGCTGTTTTCTTATTTCATTTCAGACAACCTGGGTCAAATGTTGATAGTCCTTAACAGTCATAGAGTTGACTGCTACTGTTTTATCTTGACATTCTTTGAGCCATTTCCTGTCCTAAATTTTCTGATGAGAAGACTTACCAATTCAGAAACCTACTTTTATCAGGAAACTTAACTTTCACCTACATCTTCACCAGCAGAGACTGAAGTATGCTCCAATAGACACAGTACTGGGGTGACCCTTACCAGAGGAGGTAGTTGTACATCCTGTGTCCCCTTTAGCAACTGATAACGGTCTTTGGGTCTCCTTTCCAGTCTTTCAAATTCAAACCCAGACTAAACCCAGCTTGATGTTACGCCGCAGTCACCTCAGGGTGATGTGTGAGCTCACAGTGGTCAACGGGGCCACCCAAATCTCCTGTGGCGAGCAGTGGCCCTACACCACCTCCCTGCCAGGCCTGGGTCCGGCGGCCACTTCCTCCCTCCTCCCAGAGGGGAGTGAGTCTGCCCTTTCTAGACCCAGACCCAGGGTGTAGGACAGTTACCAGCACAGCTCAGCAGTTCTCGCGAGCTGCCCGAGCTGCCCGCAGCTCCCGGAAGCCCTCGTCTGTCTCTTCCTGAGAACTGGAATTTAACGGTCCGCCCGCGCGCTTGGAGCCACCGCTGCCTCCGCGGAGCGCCACCTGTCGGTTGCATTATGTCTCTACAGTACTAAAGTCGGGAGCGGGACTGGGTGCTGGACCAAAAGAAGATAGAAGTTAACAGCAACGAACTCAGAGTTTGCTGCTTCTCTGCCATCGCTCAAGCCATCTCTGTTTCTCTTTTGTGTCGCTTAGTGCGCACAGCTATGGGCTTTATTTTATTAAACTTTTTTTCTTTTTATGTTATCTGCGTGAGTATATGTCTCTTGTGTGTGGATGCCTTGAGAACTAGTGGGTCCTCTGGAGCTTGAGTTACAGGCAGTCTTTAAGTTTCCAGGGAATCGAAGTCGGATTTCCAGGAAGAGCAGTAAACTCTCTTAACCGCTGACTCATCTCTCCAGCCCCAAACTCTGGTCCTTCTTAAATTCTTTGAACAAGATGCCAAGAACCTGGATAGACTAGTACAGACTCCGTTAATAACACTGGATCTAAGGAACCTATATTTGTTGTTGTTTCGGGATTTGAATAGTGTCTGTCTCCATGCTTCTATATTTAGTTAGCCATTTTTTAATTAATATGGGATCCTTGCTATGATGTGTATCCAGAGATTATTTTCTGTTGGTCTGGTGCCTGTGTTTTGTGGCATTTGCAGGTTTGCCCTCCAGAAATCTAAACTAGAAACAGTGATATAAACCCACTATAAGGCCAGGAATGGTGCATGCCTTTATTCCCAGCATCCAGCAGAGGAAGGTGGATCTCTGTGAGATAAATGCCAGCTTGATCTGCATAGCTGCATAGTGAGTGTCAAGCTAGCCAGAGTTACACAGTGAGGTCCTGTCTTTACATTACAGTCTAAGAACTGCGTACAACACACAGCATGCAGTTTTTCCTTGAGGAAGGTGGGGAGGAGCAAAAAGCACACAGGACATTAAACTTGGGGAACTATAAAGGAACATTAGAGGTAATGGGGATGATAGTGATAAGGCAGAAGAAGAATGACTAAAGCACTTTGTAAAAAAAAATACCATAATGGGGGAGGGAAGAGATGGATGAGTGGTTAAGAGCACTAGCTGTTCTTTCGGAGGACCTGGCTTCTCCAGTATTCTATATGGTGACTCATAAGCATCTCTAATTGCAGATCCAGAAGCTCCAACACCTTCTTCTGATCTTGAGGGACCCTGCACACATGTGCTACACATATATACATACATTCAGGCAAAACACCATGCATATGAACGTTTTAAAAATGCGACGTCATAATGATGTAGAATACCTTGAATGCTGTTTAGTTTGCTTTAAGTTTATGTGTATGGGTATTTTGTCTGCATGTGTGTCTGTGCACCATGTGTATGCTTGATACCCAAAGAGACCCAAGAAGGGTATCAGGGACCCTGGAACTGGACTTAAAGACTTTTTTGAACCTTTGTGTGGATGCTAGGAAAGAAACTGGGTTCTCTCCAAGAAACGCCAGGGCTCTAACCACTGAACCATCTCTCCAGTCCCCCTTCTATGCTAATTAAAAAAGCAGAAAATTAAAGATAAGTCAGACTACTCCATTGCTTAGGAACTAAACCTCTTGGTGTGCACCTAGGAACCCCTAGGTCTTCACGGAGTCCACTCTCAGCCTTTTCTTGCAGACATCTTCATTCTTTTGTGACTCTCTACCAGGGACCCACAACTTCCACAGTAGGCTGGGAGGAAAGCAGTCGGCCTCACTGTTCTTCCTGTTCTCTATTCTTGTCTCTTCAAGATTAAGCCCTAGGACTGCTACAAGATGCCTGCCTGAGCCTTTGTTCTCAGAGCCTCCTTGAAAGTCCGCCTCTTGTTGCAGACCCAGAGCCCCCAGCTCTTCCACAAAAGCCCTTCCAGCCTTTCTTTGTAGATAATCTCTATTCCTTAGGACTTGAAATCCACCTACAGAACTGCTTCTTACCAGGGACCCCAAGGCTGCCACACCTGGCTGGGACTCAGGGACCTCCAGAGTTGTCACACTTGACTAGGGCACAGAGTAAGAAACAGCAACCAATGAATAGAACATAGATCTAACAAAGAGGATGGCAGACATCTACAGCAAGAAACACTGCAAGCACCATAACTCCAGATGTTTAGAATAGAACATAGATCTAACAAAGAGGATGGCAGACATCTACAGCAAGAAACACTGCAAGCACCATAACTCCAGATGTTTAGAATAGAACATAGATCTAACAAAGAGGATGGCAGACATCTACAGCAAGAAACACTGCAAGCACCATAACTCCAGATGTTTAGAATAGAACATAGATCTAACAAAGAGGATGGCAGACATCTACAGCAAGAAACACTGCAAGCACCATAACTCCAGATGTTTAGATCCTAACACAAAAACACAGACATGGAAAACGGGAAAAAATGTGTCTCCTACAAAAGTCTATCAATCCTATTGTGTTAGGTCCCAAGAAAAGCAATTTAGCTGAAGTTCAAGACAAGAACTTTAAAATAAAAATTATCGATATGTTCAAAGATCATAAAGAGGATGTGAATAAGTCTTTTGTTTTGTTTTTTGCTTTTTGGGGACGGGGTTGGCTGTGTTGGAACTTGTTCTGTAGACCAGATTGGACTCAAAATCATAAAGATTTGCTTCCCAAGTTCTGGGGTTAAAAGCAGGCACTACCACCACCCTCTGAATAAATAAAAGTCTCAATAAAGATGGTGAAATCAGTAACAGTTGGGTGGAATAGATAAAACAATACGAGACATGGAAGGACAATTTAATAAATAGAATAGCCAAAGAATACTCAAACTGAAATTAAGCTAGAAATGAAAAACTCAAGCTGTCAAACAAATATCTCAGAGGTAAGCCTCACCAATAGATTAAAAGTCATGGAAGAGAGTACTTCAGGTCTTGAAGACAAGGTAAAACAAATGGATAGCTTAGATTTAAGAAAATCATATAAAAAATCCAGGTGCAAAATACTCAGGAAATCTGGCACACTATAAAAAGACCAAATCTACAAATAATTTAAGTATAGAGGAAGGAAAAGAGGCCCAGGTCAAAGGAACAGAAATCTTTTCTTTTCTTTTCTTTTCTTTTTTTTTTTGAGACAGTGTTTCTCTGTATTGTTTTGGAGCCTGTCCTGGAACTCACTCGGTAGACCAGGCTGGTTTCAAACTCACAAAGATCCGACTGCCTCTGCCTCCTGAGTGCTGGAATTAAAGGTGTGCCCCACCAGTGCCTGGCCAGAAAATATTTTAAATAAAATTTTAGAAAATTTTCACAGCCTAAGGAAAGAGATGCCTATCACAGTACAAGAAGCATACAGAATGCCAAATAAACTGGATCAGAAAAGAAAGTCCCCATGGCACATGATAGTCAAAACACTAAATGTACAGATACTCCAAAGAGAGCATAAGCAGGGACAACTGACACTAAATGCCTTTTGAAAAGCCACACAGAAACCTACTAATGTGTAGACATTTCCTAAAATATAGAAATACATTAAAGGAATATAAATGTAGTCACCATATAATGGAAGAGGCAGTGCCCAAATTAGACATGCCACCAAGTAAAACCTCCAGTGGCAGGAATGGGTTACATCTTGCTGAGTTGTTGGCCAAGAGGGTCCTTGGCCCTCTTGATATACCCCTCAAAATCACAGGATAGAGCCAAGGCTATTGACTACCCTCCATAACTTCAGCCCTTTTACTGAAGATACAACTTACTTTTACATCAAACCTAGAGAAGCCAACCAGATGCAACCCCCTTACTGAGTGTGCATGGTGCTGAAGGCTATTTTGTACATTACAGGAGTGGAAAAGTAGTCGTCAATATCACCTGGCTATGAACCTTGCCACCTACAACAGAGAGCCATCTGCAAAACATACTAGTGCGATAGCAGCACCAATGTTGTTATGGGAGTGAGCAATGGCTTTTGGACTTGATTGAAGGCTCACTGTATAAGATGGAACCCATAACTGATACTGCTAAAATTGCCAGGGTTCTGAGACTAGCTAGGGCATAAGCCCTATCTAACGGAAAACTTGCCGCTCTTATTCTGCTAAAGGAACATAGCAATGAAATGACTCCTAGTTACATATCACTATACTCATAGATCGGAACATTACTGTTCAGCCCTCATCAAAGACGTTTCTTCTTGCAATAGATGGCAACTTAACGATCACATAGATCCACAGCAGACAATGAGAAGAGATTGAGAAACTTTGTAACACTCAGCCCTCAAGGGGATGTCTTTCTCAAACCCCCATCCTCAAGGTTCAGGGATCTATGTGCAAGAGGAGGCTGAAAGACTCTAAGAGGCAAAAGTAGTGGATGACTCCAAGGAAACAGAATCTTCCAGACACAGCAGAACTGATGCACATTTGAACTCACAGTGGCTGTGACAGGTCCAAACCAGACAAAACCCTAATGCTGAGAAGAGGTGGGGAAATGATCTGAATTGTCGAATTATGGTCCTTTTTGTGCTTGCAAGCAGTTTTTTTCATCTTTTCCTGTCTGAGCATGTAAATGCCATGCATGGATAATGGTGAGAGGTTCACTAATAGGAAGGCTGTGACTGAATTTACTATGAGACAGAAAAAGGCAAAATTAGCATTTATTACACATGATGTGTAACACAGCAGCTTGTGCAGGCTGAATGGAAGGGGGAGGGCTGAAAGCCTTCTATAACAGTTGAGGAATTATTAACCTTCCTCATGGGTCATTTGTTTAGGGCCAGTATATGAAGGGGACAGGCTGATTTCCTCTACCTTGTCAAGCAGTACATTTTATACTACCAGTTGTCTTTCTTGAAACTGATCATTTGGGAGCCAGTGTCATGGGTCATTTGGAGTTAGGCCCTAAATGTTTTTTATTAACATATCACAACTCACCGTGTCAGGGTCTGGTTAATCAAACGTGGGCATGTTTGCTTTTATTTTTGAGATTGCTTGTCTCTGGT